ACCAAGCTGTGGGGGAGTAATAGATACGGTGGAGGGTAGGGCTAGGATTCACAGTAACCTGAACAAATTGGAGGATAGGGACAAAATGAATCTCATGAGGTTCAACAAGTACAAAGTCCTGCACTTAGAACAAAGCAATCCCATGCACCAGTACAGGCTGGGGGCTGACTGGCTGGGCAGCAGCTCTGCAGAAAAGGACCTGGGGGTTACAGTGGACAATAAGCTAGATAAGCCAGCAGTGTGCCATTGTTGCCAAGAAGGCTAGTGGCATACTGGGCTGCATTTGTAGGTATGTTGCCAGCAGGTCAAGGAAAGTCTCACTCTATTCAGCACTGGTGAGGCCACATCTGGAGTACTGTGTTCAGTTTTGGGCCCCCTACTACAGAAAGGATGTGGACAAATTGGAGAGGGTCCAGCAGAGGGAAACAAAAATGGTGAGGTGGCTGGGGGGGGGCATGACTTATGAGGAAAGACTGAGGGAACTGGGCTTATTTAGTCTGGAGAAGAGAAGATTGAGAGGGGATATAATAGCAGCCTTCAACTTCCTGAAAGGGGGTTCAAAAGAAGATGGAGCTAGATTGTTCTCAGGAGTAATGGCCTGAAGGTGCAACAAGAAAAGTTTAGGTCAGATATTAAGAAGAATTTCTTACTAGGAGGGTAGTAAAGCACTGGAACAGGCTATCCAGACAGCCTGTGGACACTCCATGCTTGGAGGTTTTTAAGACCCAGCTAGACAAAGCTTTGCCTGGGATGACCTAGCTGGGGATGCTCCTGCTTTGAGCAGGAGGTTGAACTAGATGACGTCCTGAGGTCCCTTCCAACCCTAATTTTCTACGATTCTATGAATGTCATCTCACCACTTTACCTGCTGAGCCAGGTTCATTCCTGCAATCATGGGGAATGAGTCTGGCTAAGTAGAAAACGCCTACTTTCCCATTTATGGAGAAGTACCTCAGACTCCCTGGGGTACCTCTCTGTAAATGGGGAAAGTGGGCAGGTGGGCTGGGGGCTTGAGGGACCTTCCAGGGTGACCAGAAAGGAGCAGCAGCTCAGGCTACCCAGACTCTCCTGTCACAGAGGCACAATAAGTGGCAGGGTTTATTACTACCTTTTGTTGCACCACTCGTTTTCCTTTGAAGAGGCATGAAAAATGGAAGCAAGGTCTATTAGCTCACCATTTGTGCTACCAGAAAAATGTTATGTCAGGATAAATGAGACATCAGGTGACCTCTGTTTCCATGCAGAGACAGGGCTTGAGGGCAGCAGTCAGTGCCACACTAAGGCAAACTACACTACTTTTCACTTGGGAAATAGTAGAGGCTTACCATATTTACTCAAATATAAGAAGAGGTTTTCTCCCCCTCCCTACATCCCCTCCTCAAATCAGCACGGGTGGGAAAAGCCCCTAATCTTATATTATCACATGAAGCAGAGAGGGGAACAGGCAACTACTGTGGCTCTGACTCTGGTCCTGAGCCAGGGGCACAGTTAAACCCACAGCAGCCAGGAGGGTTGCTCCCTCCCTCCATTTCCCTTCTGCAGCTTTTGCCCCTCATCTTTTTCCCTTCCCATTATTGTCAGATGCAGATTGGCTCTGGCTCCAGCTGGGGTCTCTCCCGGGCATGGAACACATGCACCAGCACCGCTGCATGGCCAAGCAGTGGCTGAGCTTCCATGTACTATGCTCCAGCAGGGAGCAGCCCAAGCAGCCTCTGACAGTAGTGGGGAAGGGAAGAGGCTGTGAGGGAGAGGCA